GACTACATGGAACTGGCAGAAATGACTGGCAGAATCCGAGACTAGGGAGAAGAGTCGGTGAAAGAAGACTGGAAAAAGTTTAAAGACTATTTACAGAAATATTGTAAAATTAATGAATCTTAGAAGGATGTTGGATAGAAACTAAGTGGTTTCCAGCTGTAATGCTTTAAGAGATACGAAAAAGGTTTACAAATGGGTAAAAGCTTAATGGTAAGGATTTGCTGAACTAACAAACTGAACTGGAATACAAAAAAGGGAGGTACGAGGAGGTCCGGGGAAATAAGTGTAAGGAAGATATGCTATGGAAAATTAATGTGTTTTTAACTGTTTTTATTTTGTATGTTTCTTTTTATTTTTCATTTCTTTGTTATACCTTAATAAGGGTTTTTTTTACTCTTTTTGCTGTATTTTGTATTTTCTTGTATTTTTATTGTTTTTGTGTAATTCTTGTATTCTTTGAAATTTTAATAAATATCATTTAAAAAAAACAAAAACAAATCTGGTTCAACTTTAGCCATAGCAGATCAGAACTCTGTACTGTTTTATAAACCAACTAGGCGACTACATGATTTATTTATTTTTAAGCACTGCTTGGGATGGCCAATTTCAGTTTTTCTCAATTTCTCTTTTTTTCAGATCTCCAGTTCTCCACATTTCTGTTTCAGTTTGCATAAAAAAGACACTCTGATGAAAAGGCATCAGCCGTTAAATGAACATCCTTCCAAACATGCATTTTTGCAAACAATTTCTCCTAATATTCTTCCATGTAATTTCACTAATACAGGCATTTTCATCCAACTTTCCCATAATGCTAACATTTTTGGACACAATATTTGGCCAGAGAACTACCTTCACAAAAAAATGGAGAAGTGAGAATGCAAAGGGATTGCTATATTTTGCTTTGTATATCATCTCTGGATGTGTGAACTCTGTAGGTTTGCATTAACATGTGACCCAAATATAATTTCTTCCCCATCCTTAGGCTGTGTAACTCACAACTAGCTTGGCCTCAATTCATGCATGCCCCCTATAATATATTTTTCGATTTCGAAGATTGCCTTCAACAAGTCCCAGAGGAAAACTGGGAAACACATCTCGTGCAAGAGCTTAGCCTCCCAAATAATTGAAGAATATGAGATTGATCAATCAATCAATCAATCAATCAATGGGAAGCAGATAAAGGGAGGAGGGAGGGAGACACACAAACACACACAGAGAGAGATTGAGAGATTGAGAGCAGAAACAAAAACTGCAGCTCTGTCTCAGATTCCTTCCAGTTTGCTAGGGGTTCAGGAGTAGTCAACCTTTTTATACCTACCGCCCACTAATGCATCTTTCTTGATGGTAAAATTTCCTTACCGCCCACCAGTGCTCGATGGAAGGAGGATTCGGCTTGTGCCGTAGAACCCTCTACCACCTACCTAGAATCCTGAAATGTCCACTAGTGGGCGGTAGGGTCCAGGTTGACAACCCCTCGGTTATACAAAGTGATAAACTAAAGCACTATATTTAGAACCAGACTCAGTGAGTGGAAGAGACACCAACGGTAATAAAGTAAACAGTAGAAACTATCTATATCTGTATCTATATATCTACACACACACACACACACACACACACACACACACACACACACACACACAGGCACAGCAACTGTAATTAGGTTTATTCTTTATTCCAGAGAAATTATCTTCCCCTTTCATAGGGGAGTAGAGGAAGAGAGTGGGTGGGTACGAGAAAGAGACTGTCACTGAGCTGCAAATAATTTTGAAGAAAATGAACAGGCTAGAACAAAGCACAACAACAGTGATGAGCGTGAAAAGGATGCTGGGGAAACCTCAGGTTTGATCCCCCATTATACTGAGGCTCACAACATCCTCTAGCTGAAGCCAGACCCTTAATCTGCCAAGATGCAAGCCATGGTTGAACAAGTAGGTCCCCTTTGCATTTGTAAAGTGACTGCAGAATTTTTATATGCTTGCTCTTTTTCCCAATCCATTCCCTGCCTCCATCACAAGTATGAGCATGCTGCTTTGTTGCAAACCAGGTGTGTGTGTGCTCCAGTTATTGCCTCCAGCCAGTGACCCTGCCCTCCTGAGCAAAAGACCACAGAGCATGTAGTTTTGCATGCAGAAGGTCATTTCCAGGGTAGGTTTGGGAAAGATTTCTGTCTGAAACTCTCAGTGTCCACTGTCAATAAGTAGACAGTACTGAGCTAGAAGAGCCAGTGATCTGGCTCTGTCTAAGACAGCTTCCTCTACTCCTATGAATAAGTCCATCCTGCAGAAAGGGAAGGAGACAGATGAAGAAGCCTGATCCAGCTTGATTGTCGGCCACCTTGGGAGGGATCTCAGGAAAAGGAGAGAGGCAGGCTAAAAGGAAAACATCCAAAGCTTGCTTCTGTTCCAACCTTGTGGGAAGGATCCTAATCACTTGTTATAAGTTTATATTGATTTTTGTTGTTAAAAATGTATGTTGTTGACCTTACTGTTGCTACATTACCAGCTGAGCTGCTGTACAGTCATAACTTGGGTTACAGATGCTTCAGCTTGCGTTTTTTTGGGTTACGGACCGCTGAAACCCGGAAGTAACGGAACGGGTTACTCCCAGGTTTTGGTGGTTGTGCATGCGCAGAAGTGATAAATCGCGCTTTGCGCATGCACAGAAGCGCAACCCACATGTGCGCTGAGGGTTGCGAACTCTGTGGGTTGCGAATGCTGCAGATTGTGAACGCTGCAGGTTGCGAACGTGCATCCCACACGGATCACGTTCGCAACCCGAGCGTCCACTGTATTCCTGAAACTCATTCATCTCCCACCTCCTTCCTCTTCTTCCCCTAGCCTGAACCTTTGCTCCAGTGGTCTGTGGCCTGGGTCAAGTGGGGTTACTCCCAGCCCCCTCCACAATTCTTTCTTGGGCAAAGATTCTGCTGGGGTGCTTTTGTGTGCCATATTGGAGGTCCGATTAGAGCAGGGGTGAGGAACCTCTGGCCCATGAGCTAAATCTTGCCCTGCATTTGGGCACATAAGAATGTTTTCCCTAAACCATGCCTTATCTCCCACACAGACACACACCAGCTGATTTTGGATTGACTTAAAGAGGTAAAGGTAAAGGGACCCCTGACCATTAGGTCCAGTCGCGGATGACTCTGGAGTTGCGGCGCTCATCTCGCTTTATTGGCTGAGGGAGCCGGCGTACAGCTTCCGGGTCATGTGGCCAGCATGACTAAGCTGCTTCTGGCAAACCAGAGCAGTGCACGAAAAAACACCGTTTACCTTCCCACCGGAGCGGTACCTATTTATCTACTTGCACTTGACGTGCTTTCGAACTGCTAGGTTGGCAGGAGCAGGGACCAAGCAACAGAAGCTCACCCCGTCATGTGGATTCGAACCTCCGACCTTCTGATTGGGCAAGTCCTAGGCTCTGTGGCTTAACCCACAGCGCCACCTGCGTCCCTGTCTGTGCCTTGCTTGTTCTTTTGTGTTTTGGGGTGAATAGTATGTTCATTGGGAGCATGCTGTTGCCAGTCCAACTTTTCATACAAATTGGGCTGGCAAAAGTAGCTCGACACAGAACCTGTGAACTGCACACTACCTTGTGTGGGACAAGGCCAAGCTTTGATGCCCCCCCAGCCCTCATACTGCCTTCCCAAAGCTGGATAAGTGAGGTGCTGGGCTTTGGGAAGGAGATGCTCAACTCTGGCAGGGTCCTAGGGCCCTCCTGCCTTATTCCCAAAGTTGGAAACAAGGGTTTGCAAAGGAGGACTCTAGGATCCCGTCAAAGCCCTCATGCCTCCTTTCCAAAGCCCAGCACCTCACATTGCGAAGGCAAAGGTGCTGAGGGCCACAAAATAGGCATTGAGGGCTGCTTGTGGTCCTTGTGTTGGACTGCCCTGTTCTAGTAGAACCTGTTAGGATATTTCCGTTCCACCTTAAAAAGGGAGCAGGCTGTTGTGTGTCACAAGCCTGCGTACTTCCTGCTCACAGGGAGTTTCCGTTTTGTATATAGCATTTGTTTCTGGCTGTTTCCTCAAGCAGTCATGTTTTTCCTTTGTTCTGACCAACATTGAATAAAGCTGTAAAATATGCTCTCCTGGGTGAATCTTCCGTTGTGGACACTCTGCTAAAAGGGCGTGCACGGGTCCTGGAATGTGTCTGAGGCTCGTGTCACTAATTGATTGATGCTTTTCTACAGGAGATCAATGGATCGGCTGGAGCTGGCGTATAGGCTGCCTGATGCCTTTGTCTCCCTGGCAGTATCCCAACAGAACCTTCTATGCAGGGCCAGCCCTACTGTTTGTGAGACTGTGGCAGCCGCCTCAGGCAGCTTGTTTGGGGTGGCATTAAATGGAATATTGCAAGACCATTGCCCTCACCAGCTCAATGTTGTGACACTTCAGAGTCTAATGCACCAAAAGAGGCTTCTCTTTCCCTGCTCCCCCTGCTCCTTTCAGTCTTCATGCTTTATCAGACTGTTTGGTTCACAGCAGCTAATAATACAGAACAAATTGCAACTTCACAGCCAAATGCTTGCAAACAGGAAACAAGGACATAGAGGTCTATTATTATCATCAGCTGCAGCACAACAGTTGTAACAACAAGAGCGGCAATACCAGCAGCCATCCAACATAGCAACGGACATCTGACTGCAGAGTTTTTTCATAAACCTCTGTAGCAAGAAGATTTGGGGTTATGAGGTTCAATGTGAGCTGTGTTTTTATTTTTGTTTTACACAAAGAGTATTAGAGATTCAGCAAAGTGTGTTCCTCATCAACAAGGAGGTCTGAAACTTGTATTAACTGTGTTGCATATCTTCTTTTTTTTAAAGACAAGTGATAAGGTGGGATATGATAAGGTTACAATCACACCATACATTTAAAGCATCATGCTACAGTTCCCAGGGAACTCTGGGAATTGTAGTTCTATGAAGGGAATAGGGGCCTCTTAACCACTCTCAGAACTTTTAACAAACTACAGAATTCCCAGAATTCTTTGGGGCATGCCATGGCTGTTTAAAGTGGTATCACAATGTATGATTGTGGCCTTAAAAGAGACTCTTAATCTCAGGGTTGTGGGTTGAAGCCCCACGTTGGGCAAAAGATTCCTGCACTGCAGGGAGTTGGACTAGATGACCCTCGTGGTCCCTTCAAACTCTACAATTCTACAATGGGAGGCCCCATTAGCTAAAGTGGTGCTTCAGGTTAAGAACAGTTTCAGGTTAAGAACAAACCTCCGGAACAAATTAAGTACATAACCAGAGGTACCACTGTACTCAAATACTCAAAGCTGCTCAAGATGGACAATAGAAAGAATTTCAGCACACAAACCAGAAGTATTCTAAGGAGAAGTGTATGTGTGGGGGGAACCATTGACCCTAATAAGAGTGAGCAAGAAACAAAAGGCTAAAAAATGCAAACAACACCAAGATTAAATCAAAAGGAATAAATGAGAAAGGAACGGGCAGGAAGGAGTGGGTAGGAACTAGGCTGTACTTGGAAGGTAAGCAAAACAAGGAAGCAAAACCTTTCCACCTGAACTCTTATAGTAATGTTCCTGCTCCTCAGAGACAGAACTTGCCAAAGAGCAAGAAGCAGGCTGTTTATTTACTTCAGCGTTCCTCTCCCAAAGCACTGAGACTGGAGTGTCTTGGCAGAATCATTCCCTCTCATTACAAGTGTGACTTGCCAGTCACAACAAAACTATCCCTACCTGGGAATTTGCTCTCCCTTCACCGCTCCCTGCTAAGCTTTGAGATATTAGTTTCACATTTAGTCTGCAGTATTATTATTTTTCAATGTCCAAATTGAAATCTGGTCACTGGGATGTGGTTTTTGCTGGTGGTTTCCCTTTGGTGAACCAAAGAATAGTTTGGCTAAAGTGGGATGACCAAAGGAAATGGCGAGAACACCCTGCTTTGACCTTGTGTACATTCTTGTAATGGATTTCCCTATGCTAGTGATGTCATGGGAATCCAAAAAGCTCATTCCTCCTCAGGAAGCCAGGTTGCAATAATAGTAATGGGATAATTGATTGGTAAACAAAACAGAGCCCACCAGATGCTGGTTTTGAAATTGTAAAGGATCTTTCTTTCAAACAGCTGGCTATCCCACAGAATTGCAAATGAAAACAGACAGAACAATGCCACTTGCAGAATGACTCAGACAACCTCAAGCTATACTCATTGTTCTCAAGTAGTAACCTTCCAGATGACTCATCCTTGACTCACTACCTGCCCAATCTACTGCTCCCTAGAACTTCCTAAGATTACACCAAAGCCTTTTTTCACACACCCCAAATTTTACCCAAAACCCTGTTCTCTTCATGTGATCCCTTCTCATAGGTCATTTTTTCAATTTCCCTGGACATACTTTTGGCTTCGCTACAAGTCCACTTAAAAAGGTGAAGGGACCCCTGAACGTTAGGTCCAGTCGCGGATGACTCTGGGTTTGCGGCGCTCATCTCACTTTACTGGCCGAGTGAGCCGGCATACAGCTTCCAGGTCATGTGGCCAGCATGACTAAGCCGCTTCTGGTGAACCAGAGCAGTGCACAGAAATGCCGTTTACCTTCCCGCTGGAGTGGTACCTATTTATCTACTTGCACTGACATCCTTTTGAACTGCTAGGTTGGCAGGAACTGGGACCAAGCAACGGGAGCTCACCCCGTCGTGGGGATCCGAACCACCGACCTTCTGATCGGCAAGCCCTAGGCTCTGTGGTTCAGACCACAGCGCCACCCGCGTCCCTTCTACAAGTCTACTTACGAGCAGGTTTTAGCATCGCTTTGGGCTTTTTCTTTATTTTTCTGCTCTCCTTGAACACATCCTGCAAGACTCTCTGAAGATCCTCCTTATGTTGCCCCCACTCTGAGCAACCATTCTACATACTCCAGGAACTTCAGACCTAAGGCTTGGTATTTCTGTGACTGCTTTAATAAAGTTCTGAAACTTTATTATTGGGTATAGATTCCTGAGCTCAGTGCCTGGGTCCTAGCTCTCCCATATCACCCCCCCCCCCCGCCAAGAGAGGTAATTCAAAAGTATCTTATCTGATTGAATCCCCCCCCCTTTTAATATAGAACTCTCATTTCTCTAAGTTAGATGTGTGCTTGTGATAAAATATTGCTTTGTGTACCCAGTATGGTAAAGGTATGCTGCTGTGTTTTATTGTTAAAATTACCTTTATTCTTCATAATCAATTCTTTGTTTTTCTATAGTCTCCAAGCAGGCACACCATTGTATTTTTTTTGGGGGGGGGTGTTCTCATACACAGGCTTAGTGCTCTGCTTGATTCCAGCTAAAGATCCCTTTTGGGGGAGCACATTTTTGGGATTGCACAAGAGCTCAGCACCCAAAGAAGGAGGTGAAACCAGACCCCCTAGAGATGGAGAAGGGGGAACTGCTGCTGGTACAGGAGACAGGGGGCTGGGGCAGGGAAGCCTTAGTGGGCTTGCAAGGGAGCGCAGCACCAAAACACGCACATCCTGATTTTAATAGGTGGAAGGTTGGCGGTTCGAATCCCCGCGATGGGGTGAGCTCCCGTTGCTCGGTCCCTGCTCCTGCCAACCTAGCAGTTCGAAAGCACGTCAAAGTGCAAGTAGATAAATAGGTACCGCTCCGGCGGGAAGATAAACGGCATTTCCATGTGCTCCTCTGGTTCGCCAGAAGTGGCTTAGTCATGCTGGCCACATGACCCGGAAGCTGTACGCCGGCTCCCTCGACCAATAAAGCGAGATGAGCAGGCAACCCCAGAGTCATCCATGACTGGACCTAATGGTCAGGAGCACCTTTACCTTTACCTTATGTTCATTAATTTCAATGGGTCTACTTTGTGTGGATACAGTCCTGCACCATTTCATTATGCCAGCCTTCCCCAATCACAGCCAACTGGCAAGGAATAACAGGAGCTATAATGGAACAGTATCTGGAGAGCAACAGTTTGGGGAAGAATATCACTAGCTGGTATCTCAATTTGCTTATTTTTGTTTTCCCTTCCCTTTTCTTTTGGTACCATGCTACTTAAGATTATCTAGGGCTGAGCCAAAATTTCTTAGGAATGAATTGCCTGACTACTTTTTTTTTTGGAAAAGCATTCTTTTTCAAGTTCCTTGCAAACCGGCAGAAAATGTCAGTCCTCCTGTGGAGATTATTCTGCAAAATAGCCTCACCAGTGTCACCATCTGTGAATTTTGGATGAAACTGTGGATCCAATTCTAATTTTATTATTATTATTTTATTGTTGAAGGAAGCGATGGGCTTGGCACCTACTGCTTCCAGCCCTTCTCTCTTAGCCCATCGCTTCCTTCATCTACCAGAATGAACAAGTCTCCAAAAACCGTTGGGGGAATTTCATCTTCCCTCCAAGAACATTCTGAAAAATGCCCCCTTCAAATGTTAACACCCACAATAGAACATATAATGTCAGAAAGACATTTTTACGTATCCCTAAGCCATGTGTATCTGCAAAACATTCAGTTTGGGCCTACGTCTACTCAATCAGTTGCAAGATCGGCAAGTCAGTTAGTTACTAGCCAAATATTGACAACTGGACAGCAGTTTATGTGACCACAGAAAGACAGGCTACCTCTCTTTTAAATTGGAACCAGTGAAGCCGGTGAAGGTCCTATGTGAGTGTCTGGAGGTGTTTGGAAGATGGATGGCAGCTAACAGATTGAGGTTGAATCCTGACAAAACAGAAGTACTGTTTTGGGGGGCAGGGGGTGGGTGGGGGTGGGGGACTCCCTGCTCCTGAATGGGGTAATTGTGCCCTGAAGGACCAGGTGCGCAGCCTGGGTGTCATTTTGGACTCACAGCTGTCCATGGAGGTGCAGGTCAATTCTATGTCCAGGGCAGCTGTCTACCAGCTCCACCTGGTACGCAGGCTGAGACCCTACCTGCCCACAGACTGTCTCGCCAGAGTGGTGCATGCTCTAGTTATCTCCTGCTTGGACTACTGCAATGCGCACTACATGGGGCTGCCTTTGAAGGTGACCCAGAAACTACAACTAATCCAGAATGTGGCAGCTAGACTGGTGACTGGGAGTGGCCGCCAAGACTATATAACACAGGTCCTGAGAGATCTGTGTTGGCTCCCAGTGTGTTTCCGAGCACAATTCAAAGTGTTGGTTCTGACCTTTAAAGCCCGAAACGGCCTCAGTCCAGTATTCCTGAAGCAGTGTCTCCACCCCCATCGTTCTGCCCGGACACTGAGGTCCAGCTCCGAGGTCTAGCTTCAGGTGGTTCCCTCACTGCGAGAAGTGAGGTTACAGGGAACCAGGCATAGGGCCTTCTCTGTAGTGGCGCCCACCCTGTGGAATGCCCTCCCATCGGATGTCACGGAAATAAACAACTATCTGACTTTTAGAAGACATCTGAAGGCAACCCTGTTTAGGGAAGTCTTTAATGTTTGAAGCTTTATTCTGATTTTAATGTTCTGTTGAAAGCTGCCCAAAGTGGCTGGGGAAACCCAGCCAGAAGGGCGGGGTAGAAAATAATAATAATAATAATAATAATAATAATAATAATAATAATAATAATTTCACGATAGTGCTGTTTGTTAATTGGAGTTATTGCATGCAAAAGTCAGAAACGAACCTAGAAGCATAACAAAAGTCCACCTACTGGTCACCTGCTATATCTGCAAGGATCACCAGACAGGAACCGGAAAAGGAATGCAAGCAGAAATCAGGGATAAAGGCTACTGTATAGAACTATACTGGCTGCTGCAAGAGATGGGGAGTTATTTCAATTGTGCTTGAATTGGCTAATAAGGCAAAAGATAAAGGATCCCATGGCAGTTAAGTCCAGCCAAAGGCGACTATGGGGTTGCGGTGCTCATCTCACTTTCAGGCCAAGGGAGCCGATGTTTGTCCACAGACAGCTTTCCGGGTCATGTGGCCTGCATGACTAAACTGCTTCTGGTGCAACGGAACACCATAATGGGAACCAGAGCCCATGGAAACACCATTTACCTTCCCACCGCAGTGGTACCTATTTATCTACTTGTGCTGGCATGCTTTTGAACCGCTAAGTTGGCAGTAGCTGGGACAGAGCAACGGGAGCTCACCCCATCACAGGGATTCAAACTGCTGACCTTCCA